GCATAGGCTCCGCCCTGGAGCAGCATAGGCTCCGCCCTGGAGCAGCATAGGCTCCGCCCTGGAGCAGCATAGGCTCCACCCTGGAGCAGCATAGGCTCCGCCCTGGAGCAGCATAGGCTCCGCCCTGGAGCACCAACCAAAAGTTTGATATTGAATTTTTTTTTAAATTGAAACTGCATTTTTGTTTAGTTGAAATTATTTTTTTGGTTTAAATTATTTTTTTATTGAATGTTTTTTGATTGAAACTACTGTTTAGTTTGATTGAATAAAAAACATTAAAAATAAATACCTTAAAGCAATGATTTGTCTACTTTGTAGGCAGATATAATAGAGTGCTGGATGAATGTGTAAATGAAGGCACAGAGTGTAGTGTAAGGTGTTCAGAGTTTCCTGGTTGGATGGAAAGGTGCTACATAAATACAGTCCATTTACCATTTATAAACATTTATATTATAAAACATGAAGAAGAGTCACATGAAATGTCAACAAAACACTACAGGAAAATTATAAAAGGTAAGAAGTAAAAAATTACATGAACATCAGCTGTAAGCCGGCTCAGATTCACACAGACCTAAAAATAGGAAAAGCTCTTAAATTTCATCAACATTTGGAATTAACAGGTTCGACTTTAACAAAGTTGCATAGTTTAGATTATTGCTCATTGATTATTTATAAGTGACGATATGATTAAAAAAAGACATTCAAAGATCCTCTCCCACCAGATGAATCTCAACAAAGATGGATCAGTGACATCATCAGTGGGAGGAGTCACAGAGGGAACGCATGAACCAACTGAAACACAGTGAGGAGATTATAGGAGGACACACAAACGCCTCCTTGTGTTGTTGTCTCCATCTTTATCTGTTTTTAGTCCCTCATCATCCTTGTGAGTCGTGGAAAATGGCGTTCAGCTGGGCGTTCATCATTCGCTCTTGGTGTGAGTGTCCATCAAATCCCACCAGCTGTTCCACCTGCAGGTTGGACCCCCCGCTGCCATAGATGGTGCCGTGCCCTCCAGCTGCTCCTCCCCCACAGTGCACGCTGAAGGAGAAGCTCTTGTAGTCAGAAGATGGGACCGGCTCATTCTTGAAGGAAGAGAAGTTCCCACTAATGCTGAGAGGAGGACTGAGGGGCGGGTCAAATGAGGAGCCATCTGATACCAAAACACCATCGAAGAAGGGTTCCAGCGGGCCAAAGGGCTGACCTTTGACCTGGTGGAAGATGTGGGAAGGGTCCATGGTACCGTAGGGAGGGCTGGGTAAGCCAGCCGTCAGCCCGGGGCTCTGGTAGGGGAAGTGTCCAGGATAGGGGGGGACACTGGTTGGGGGGAGGTGTGCTGGGAGGTCAGGTGTTTGCTCTGGAAGGAAGGTCCGAGGGTTCAGCTGAAGACAACCTGCCACCAGGTTAGTGGTTGGTTGAGATAAACCTGAAAACAGACACACAGTTAGTTAGTATCAATACTTCTTACTGAATACTTATTAGCTTTTAATACTTTTTAATAAAAATAAGAATCCCATCATGTGTTCATAAATACTGAGACATAATTACCTAAAACAAATATTATATCAATAACGATAACTTAAAGGACCAAATTTTAACAAATGGTTGTTAGTAAATTATTTTAAATATACGTAATTGTTCATACATKCTATCACTTAATTAAGCCCCAATGGGTTTTTTTTAGGTTTTTGCTCAAAATACCATGCCGAATTGTAATTGAGTGTATCTCAGCATTTATAACTTTACTTAAATAATCTTGGTATCAAAATAAAGCAACACTTGGTGAATTTAATCTGAAGTGTAAGTATTAAAACAGCCGCTGTGGTTTTAGACATATTGGGGATGAAACATATATATACTCTCACCTGAATAATGTTTTCATTAGACAGTATATAACCATTTAAAACCATAATGAATCAGGTAAAAACTCTCGGAAACCATAAATCCACTTGTGGACATCACCTGTGCAAAGATTCATGCTGCTAAAATGAACTGGAGCAAAGTTACAGAGGTTTTATTAAAGAAATAATTTAGTGTTTAGTCATTCTGCACAGGACAGACCATGATGGTTCCATTAATAAATGTTAAATCTGAAGTTTTTRCTTCCAAAAGTTATTTATTTTTCTTACCTGCCTTAAAAGACTTGTTATTGAATGTTTGTTCTTTTGAAAAATTATCCAAACATTTATTTGTCATCATATATATTATATAAAACAATGAGAAATTAAATTTGACTTCATTTGGATCATGTTCACTCTAAATCAAGTGGAAAAAACCTTTCAACACACTTTACAACATATTTAGGTTTCTGCTTTGAGTTGTTTTAAAAAATAAYGTCAAAAAACTTTCCTTTACAGATTTGTTTACTGTATTTACAGATTTACAATGATGTCATTTTGTACAGTTTGTTTACTTTCTGATTCAACTGCTTGTTGTTTGAACTGTTTGATGAATGTAAAAATAGTTTCCATGAACTTTTAGCCAACACTCTTAGGTTTCTTTTGATACCAAACCTGTGGTTCAACTGACAGATCTTCAGTTAAAAGAAGTTATAAGATGTTCCAACAGTCCCCGGCTCCGGGGTCAGTTGGAACATCTGACTTTTCATTTTCAAACACAAATAGTGAAGAATGTACATGYTTTAATCATCTATAAATGGCTTTGACTATTAACAGACAGATGTAAGTTTATTGTATTAAAATTTGGTTTGTCTAATTCAAACCATCTCTGAGGAACAGAGTCAAATGTAAAAAGTGTTGCAACTGTCCCCGGTCTCCCCTAGAAGTACTTTAACTTTCCCAATTTTTATGAACAGTTTTACGACTTTTATTTGAGTGATTTTCTCATCAGTGAAATTTCTTTTTTTTTTTAACAAAGTCATTTTATGTTCATGTAATTTTACTTTTACTCAGTTTTTTTTTTCAAGTACTTTATAGACCTCTGGAAGAGCACACTGGAGGSGGGTCTGGGTCTGAAAATTTTGAATAAAATAGGTGCTGATTCCTGCATTATGGTGTATTTTAACAGGTTATTAAACATATTTACCTACATGAATAAACACTTGATTTCACAACTATTTTAGTGACAATTGTTCATTTAACTCTATATATGAATCATCCTGTTTTTAAACTCTGCTGTGGCTGAGATGAGGAAATTAAATGATCACAAACGAGTTCCATTTAAATTTTATTTGGTTTATTCTTGATTTAGTTTCATTTGTAACACATGGTATTGTGCCAAGCAGTGATGACACACAACTACATGTTTAAAAATTATAAAATTACTAATTTTACCTGCTCACTTTTCTTCCTCTTTCTATTTCTAAGTTTGGGAGCGGCCGGTCCCCGGGCTAAATGCACTGAACGTTTCTTTGACCAGCCAGCAGGCAGTAGTGTTTTATAGGGTAAAAAACAAAAATACAGGTGACTGTGTCAAGACCGCCGGCTGTTCTGTGACGGCCACTCTGCCCATGGTCTTGAGAGACATTGGGCCTCATTCAAGAATATTTTTGTATTTTTTTATCCTGAATTTATTTAATTTTTTGTACGAAGGGCTCATACGAACATGCCAAATCAAATTCAACAAACACTTCTATCTTCAGGAAAATGAGCTGCATATACTTTGGATTCTCATTTGACTTATCGTGATCATGTCTTAACCACTAAGTTGAAACAGAAATTATACCTTTTTTCAAAAATTAGATCCAATCTGACATCGTCTGTTTCAAATATCTATCTTCATGCCATTATACTCTCAACCATGTCGTACTGTTTACCTG